TTTTCGAAACGATTGAAACTGGTTGATCAAAGCTATACATTTTCACGATATAAATAAATAAATTTTAAACATAATTAATATCATTTATAATGTTTAAATATGATGAGCATCAATCAACGATAATTAAGCCGAAACTCGTTTTCCTACAAACCTGAATTTATTAAAAACAAATCAATTTGTTTAAACAGTGTTAAATTATCCCCGAAAATGTGCATTTTCTCGGCCAAAATATGAAAAATAAATTTTGCAGTGTCATGGTGACGTACGATGACGTCAATGTCACGTGAGCTACCTGTATGAAGGTCACGTTTTGCGGTCCTTTGTGTTCAGTATTAATTTCTGTTTGATGGCGGCAAGATCGTCGCTTCATTTTGGCGTAAAAGTGGAGCGTTTTAGCGAATTTCTACTTTATTATTAATAAATATTACGGAAAATATGTTGTGTTAGTGCTGTGAACGAGAACGAAAATGGATATTTTTCCGAAAAGGACCGAAAACGAGGTAAGTATGACTTCAGTTTTAATTTATCGGATTCCGTGATTCGTTTATTCGACAATGTTTAAGTTTTGGAAAAATTTTCGAAACGATTGAAGTTGGTGGGTCAAAGCTATACATTTTCGCGATATAATTAAATAAATTTTAAACATAATTAATATAATTCATAATGTTTAAATATTATAACTATTAATACATGATAATTAAACCGAAAACCATTTTCCTAAGAACACGCGGTTAGCAAAAACAAATTAGTTTGTTTAAACATTGTTAAATTAGTCCCGAAAATGTACAATTTCTGATCTAAAATATGAAAAATAATTTTTGCAATCTCATCGTGACATACGATGACGTCAGTGTCACGTGAGCTACCTGATAAAAGGTCACATTTTTCGGTCCTCTGCGTTTACTTTTGATTTTGGTTTGGTGGTAGCAACATCAGAGTCCGTTTTGGCCTAAAAGTAGGGCTCTTTTCACGGATTTCTAATTTATTATTAACAAATAATAGTGAAAATGTGTTGTATTAGTACTGTGAACACGAACGAAAATGGATATTTTTCTCAAAAGGACCGAAAACAGGGTAAGTTCGAGTTCAGTTTTAATTTATCGGATTCCGTGATTCGTTCGGTCGACTATGTTTAAACTTTGGGAAAATTTTCTAAAAGATTGAAATCGGTTGATCAAAGCTATACATTTTCACGATATAAATAAATAAATTTTAAACATAATTAATATCATTTATAATGCTTAAATATGATAAGCATCAATATACGATAATTAAGCCGAAACTCGTTGTCCTACAAGCCCGAAGTTATTAAAAACAAATCAATTTGTTTAAACAATGTTAAATTATCCCCGAAAATGTGCATTTTCCCGGCCAAAATATGAAAAATAATTTATGCAATCTCATCGTGAGGTACGATGACGTCACTGTCATCTGGAGCTACCTGTATAAACGTCACGTTTTTCGGTCCTTTGTGTTCAGTATTAATTTCTGTTTGATGGCGGCAAGATCGTCGCTTCATTTTGGCGTAAAAGTGGAACGTTTTAGTGAATTTCAGTTTTATTATTAATAAATATTACGGAAAATATGTTGTGTTAGTGCTGTGAACGCGGACGAAAATGAATATTTTTCCGAAAAAGACCGAAAACAGGGTAAGTACGACTTCAGTTTTAATTTATCGGATTCCGTGATTCGTTTGGTCGTCAATGTTTACATTTTGGATAAATTTTCGAAACGATTGAAGTTGGTGGGTAAAGCTATACATTTTCGCGATATAATTAAATAAAATTTAAACATAATTATGTTTAAATTTTATTTAATTATAATTAATAGAATTGATAATCTTCAAATATGATAACTATCAATATATGATAATTAAACCGAAATCCATCTTCCTAAGAACACGAGGTTAGCAAAAACAAATTAGTTTGTTTAAACATTGTTAAATTAACCCCGAAAATGTACAATTTCTGATCTAAAATATGAAAAATAATTTTTGCAATCTCATCGTGACGTACGATGATGTCACTGTCACGTGAGCTACCTGATAAAAGGTCAATTTTGCCATCCTCTGTGTTTTGATTCCGGTCTGGTAGCAGCAATACTGGAGCTCCGTTTTGGCTTAAAAGTAGCACGTGTTCGCGAATTTCTAATTTATGGTTAATAAATATTAGCTAAAATGTTTTGTGTTACGTGCTGTGAACACGAAGGAAAGTGGATATTTTTCCAAAAATGCCCGATTTTTTTTGAAATATGTTGTTAATAACATGCATTCAAGACTGATTAAGTACGGCTTTGGAATATACAAAGTGCAGCGTTCATAATTCACAAGATACCATATGCATCATTTTTAAACTACGGAGTCCAAATTTACAAAATAAGGTGTCCTTCACCCATGCTATCAAACCCTAGTCCTCTCTTTTAATGGCAAGACGCACTCCAGACCTCCCCGTATTGTTTGGTTCTTTCTGGGCAACAGCAACGAGCGAGCACAGTCATCGCTCTTTGTTGGCAAACGTGGAGAAATTTGTATATTGTAACTTTTGTAATTGAAGCATTTTGTACTGTATATTGTGTGTGTTACTAACTTAACTTGGGTCTTGCCAATTTAGCTCCAGTGGTGCAAATGCTTTGTTTTCACGGTGCATTTGCTTGGGTTTTAATTTTGCAACAGTGCATTCTTTGGTTCCGAGACTGAATTCTCCATGTCGTCAGACGCTTTGGCCTGGGGGGGTTCTTTTGGCCCTTAGACGCTGGGTTGCATCGTTCTTTGAGAATGAGGTAAGACGACCTTGGATTTATGCGGCTGCGTTCTCCCTTGGGCGTGTGAGCGCTGCGACCAATAGATTTCGTCCCGAGTTCCATCGGTGTGCTTGCTTGGGTTTTCATTTTGCAACATTCTCAATTTTTGGTGCAATTTCTTCCGGTGGTGTATTGGGTACTAACTTTGCATTTGTATTGTATCTGAATTGTATCTGTATCTGTAGTGTATTCTGTATTGTAGCTAGATTGTAGGTACCTGTATTGTATTTCCGTTGTATTGTACTGTATAACGTTCTATCCCTCATTAATAATTCCTAGCCCTCTCCTTTCCTAGCGAGATCTGCTCCAGACCTTCCCGTGGTTCTTGCTGAGCATCAACTATCGAGGACAGAAAATTCAAATTCAAAACCAGCAAAGTTTCACAAAAATCATGAAAATCGCTCGTTGGTGGCCAACGTGGAGCAAAAGAGATTTTTGTAACTCAACTAACTTTGTTAACTCTATATTCTTAAGGAAAAAAAAATATTACATTTAATTTATCATTTATAAGGACAAATAGTCATTTGCCACGCCGATGCTCATTTTTAGATTAAATGCTCACAAAACGCGTAAGTGTTCAATTTGTGTCCGGGGAGATACAATGTTGCAAGTAGATACACAGTAGTACATCGGGTAGATGCTCAGGTATATAAGAGTAATAATGAAGTAGAAACTTCGTACTTCGAATATGAGTATCTACTCAGTTTTATTCATACCGTCCAATGTCTCGCTTCAATGTTTGATTATGATGTTGATTATGAGCACAACGCTGATCAACTTCCGTATCCGAATTACCCTTGAAATAAATCATCGCGATTTGCACCTTAGGTAGTTCGTCGCACATTTGATTGACTCCGTGGACTTATGTCAGCTTGTCGTCTTCTCGGCATTGTAATGAACTTCATAAAACGACACAGAATTATTTTCACAGTCAATCAAATCTGTAAATTTTGTCTTGAGAATTTGAAAATATTGAAAACTTCAAATTAAATCCTCGAATAACGGTAAAGTTTGAGGTCTTGTCGAAACCAACAAAGTGAATATAGGTAAATAGAATGGCAGATCAAAATTAATAAGAAACTTTCGCAATGTGTAACTAAATTCACTTTAACCAAGACTTTTCTTAAAATAAACGGCTTTTTTTACGAAAAAACAAAGAACGATTTGAAATGCAATATACTTTTCACAATCCCACGGAAGAAATAGTTTTGTATGACACGTCAGTTAGACGACAGGTCCGTCAGGAACGCCAACTATTGAAATTAATTCGAAGTGGCGATTCCTATACAAAATTTGTAGATTTTTTTTATTTTTTAGCTGTTCGTTCTTTTAATAAATTTTCTTATATAAAAACCTTGTCCTGACAATAAGGAACATATGAAAAAAAGAATCATCCAATTCGGTGCAGTCGTTCTGAAGTTATGAGCGTACATACATTTCGGCGATTCATTTTTATTAATATAGATTTACAAAAAAGAAAAAAATCGCCAATGTCACTAGTACCAACTATTTTTATTTTTGTGTATAATTATTAATATTATTATACGAATGCTACGAAATATTTGAATCTTTGTGTTTCCCGGGAACGGGCTCCCAAGGTCACACCCGTTCCGCAAATATTGCTGAAGTTTCGTTACTGATTTACTGTGACCGGGTGTTTCACGTAACAATTTCGGGCACAATAACTCAGGTATTTTTGAACGGATTTTTATGAAATTTAAGACAGGTGTAATATAATAGGTAAAGATTAAGCTGATAACAAAAAAACTATTTTATCATACAAAAACCAATTTTAACACAGCTTCCCTTTGTTAAAAATTATGCTAAATTACGTTATAACTTAAGCTATGTTCCGTGTTATTCATTAAAAATAGAACACTGTTTAGTTAAAAATAATTTTAGTTAGAGTCTAGTCCTTCATGAACCAAACAATTATGGTCTTTGACTTTTTTCTATCTGTAATAATGAATGAGATATCGAGGACCGCGCGTAATGACTCACCTTGGATTTTATTTACAGTATATGTATAAACATTTTAACAAGGGTACATTGAAATGTTATCACAAAAGTTGTTATCTTATTTACTATTTTAATTTACACTTAGTTATAAGATATGTTTTACTATTCGTATCAGACCAGACAAACATATTTCATAAATTATTTGTTTCATTGCAGTCATATTGACCACCACTGTTGCACCTAATTCCAGAGTCCGTTTCACTTTGGTGCAGTGATTAATTTTTATTTAGCTTCTAGTCTTTAAGTTTTGACACTGAAGATCTTGTAGAAGGCAATCATAATTCGAGTTTTCTGGTTAGCACATACCTGAAACAATTAAAAATAAAATCCTTAGATTAGAAATAGACAAATTTAAGTAGACAACAAGGAAATAATAAATAGTTTCAGTTAAAATAGGATCACCAATTTTATAAAAATTATGTAAACATAAACTAACACTTTCTTAATTAAAGTAATTAAAGTCAAAACAACTAATGTTGTATGTCCATACTGAAATAAGCTTCATATTTTATTTAAAAATAAGTAGAAAAAATTCTACTAGAACATTTCCACCCTTCAAATCGTTAACTGCATCACAAACTGTTTTTTATTGTTTTTTTGGTATTTTGTGTTATTTTAACACTGTTGAAAATTAAATATAGGTAGTTAAAAGTAAAGTGATCTGAGTTCATTTCTAACGGGAAATTATTATCCGATTTTTTTTTGCTGTTAACAAATTTCCAAAAAAATTTAGAATTCTCAGTTACATTATTATTAGTTTTTCGGATGTACGTGTTATGTAACTGTTCTCTAACTATTCTACACCGATCTCTTAAAGATTTAAAAAATCATCAAGTTTACCAGTTTCTTTGTATCGACGATGGGCAGAAGTTTTTAACTTGCATAATTCTTTAAGTTCCTTACTGAACCAATTAGGAAATTTTCTAGCTTTATGTTTGATAACTTTATACGGAATGTATTGCCGGAAACCATAAAACACAATTTCATAAAATAAAAAAACATTTTTATCCAAGGTGTCAGGAACTAAAGAAGTTTCCCAACAAATAGACGAATAAAATGCATTTAAACCTTGATAATCTCCATTAGCGAAGTCTGAAACTTGGATTTCAGCTTCCAATGAAGCAGGGAGATTAACGGAAATGATCCAAGAATACGGAGAATGATGAAGATTTTCAGGAAATAAACTATCTAGTGCGGAACATACATCCACATTATCTACACTAGAGAACACCAAATCAAGAAAAAGGTCCCTTAAATTGGGTGTTTTGTTAATTTGTTTGTGAACAAGTATGATTAATGACATTAAAGAAATCATTCGAAACATTGAGGTCACCGCAACTATGCCAAGGTACATTAGGCAGATTTAATTTTCTAGCAATAATATAAGACAAATCAGGAGTAAGATCAAAAAGCAACTCTAAGTCAGAGCAAAAATCTTCATAAACACTCAGATCACTAGCAGGAGGAGTATACACGCCCCCTACAATTAGGTCTAGATTATTGAATTTTATCCTGATGTATATACTTTCAACAGATTGACCAACAAGAGCAACAGAAGGGTTCAATTCTTTCCTAACAAGAATCAATACTCCGCCTCCACGAATTTTAACGCTAGTTTTAAAATTACGATCCGCCCTAAAAATATTATGATTGCATAGATTTAATTCGTTATTGGAAATACTATCACAAAACCAAGTTTCTGTTAAGAATATCGTAGACACAAGAATTCACCTTAACCTAAAACTCCTGTAACTTCGTTCTTAAACCACCACCATTTTGATAATAAAAACTCATCACTTCTTTGATCGCCCATACATGGGTGCGTCTATCTTCTTTGTAATATAGGGTTGATTATTCTTATATTTAATGGTAATGTCCGATTCACCTCGTGCCAGCCTATCCTTATACTCTTTCCGAACAGTATTGTTAATCTCTCTCTGTATGTTAGTAAGGTCCGGGCGAAAATGGAACTGCCTGTTATCATTATTTCTGTTAGTACGTATAACTTCTTTTACGATATCTTCATTATCAAAAGTAATTTTTAATGGACGAGTAATATTAGGTTTAGGTGTCCCGATGCAAACTACTTTCTTAGGTGGAGGAAAAGTTCCAAGCGGTGCAAGGATCGACGTTACTTGATCTAAATCTGCCTGGATTTTTGTTGCCAATTCCGAAGCCGTAGATTCACAAATATTAAATAGCATTACATTCGCACTACATAATTTACGTTCTTCAATCTCTGCAACGATATCATTCATATCATACCTAGCATCACAATCCGATTTAAGATTTTTGAACTCAGCCCATTCATCTTGAATAAATCGAACATTATTTTCCACCAGTGATAACCTATCACTGAATTTTTTAAAGTGACTATCAATCGATTGTTGACCAAACGTGAAGACGAACTTACTTTGTTGCTTGATAGGTGTTGTCTCGGAAGTTAGTAAGTTTTATGCCAACTTTGAAAAAGAAATGCTGTTCACCGAACGGAAAACACGTTAAAAAGAGCGACTTTTCTACCATTACATGAATGTTTTGAAGTCTCATAATATCAAATCAAATAAAAATTTGTCAAAATTATTAAGTGTAATTAATGAATAGATGGCAGCACGTAATGTACCTCTTGGACAAGCCATAATCTTTATACTAGTCGGCCATGCTCTGACGTTATGCGAATGTTATATAGCCGTAACATAACTGGCGTAGAACTGTGTCTATGCGAGCGAAGCCGCGGGCGAAAAGCTGGTTCCTTATATAAAGTGTTACTCACCAATTAAATGAAGGACTAAATTTATGCATGTAGATAATATACAAGCTGAAAGAGTCAACCATCGTTGCAATGACTTTTGAGATGCTCTATTACCTGAAAATAATTGAGCAACAAATAGTACTTAATATGAGTATTTTGGGTTCACGATCGGTAGAAATAACCAAATCTAGGAACACAGGTTTTTAGTTTACTTTATAGAAATGGAAGTTCTACATTGCAGATATATTATTGTATGCTTCATACTACTCACACAGCTAGTAGAGCTAATTTTTTAAGTAACAATTTTCGATTATTGTTAATTTGTAATTGGTATTATAAAAATTTCTTAAAGTGATCAATTTTGAAAATTTTATCTAGGAGGCTTAATTTACTAGTACTTGGAAATTATCTGCACTTTTTCGCATTTGCAAAAATACCTACACTGAATGATGGAGTACAATATTTGATATCTTGTAAGTTATATCCATCAATGCAAAAATCATTAGTTATTTCTATCGAACGTAAACGGGAATAAGTGGGTACAATTTATGTTCTAATGTAGCCTTCACGTAAAAAATGTTGTAATGGAAGGTTGAAAACTTGAATAATAAGTACTTTCATACATATTATGCATACCTATATATCTTAAATACGGAACATAAAATAAGAAAATAACAAAAGTAAAAATAAAATATACTGAACAACAAATGCCATACTGCATTAAAAATTATGTCAAAGCATCGCTATTTCGTAATGCTTGTAATCCATTTATTTTTTTACATAATATCCAAAAATGCACTTTAGCTGTGGTGTAAAGTATGCAAATTTTGTTAAGTTATCTACTGGACTCGGAAGCATTAGATTTAATTTTCTAAAAATATAAGGGAAAATTACCGTTTATAGTTAATTGTTAAAAATTCAATTTATATAATCTACATTACTGCGACTCTTCGGGTTTTAAAATTGGCATGAAGGACGGTAAGGTGGTGAATTTGATTATGATTCTTTTTACTTTCCGCGTAATGCTCCAGGAATGCAATAAAAAAATCGAAAAACAGTAGGCATTCAGGAGTATTTAGAAAAAAAAGCAGTATATACCTACCATAAGGAAGATTATTATCTACCAAACAAAAGTTTTATGTAAATACAAAGTACATAAGCTATTTTTTATTGAAGATGATTTTTCCACCTTTAAGATAAAAATATAAAAATTGTTTTATTGTAGTTGTCATAACCTCATTGTCAATGTCAGAACGACAATTCTGAGCCCGCTAAATATGTAATTCAATTTTATTAATTATTACCAATTTATCGGCAAAAAAACGTTATGCAAATCTCGTGCTGTGGAGATTTTAAAGCAAACCAAGTTATCCTAAAATACTCGTACTACTTACAGCAACTCGAATTTAAATAACTAAAAATGTAAACAAAACTCGATGCGTCGAGGATAAGTACTACTAAAGAAATATAACAAACGAAGTTTAACTAAAGAAAAGAAGTTAAATAATTGCATTGCAAAAAGAAAAACCTAATGGCTTCATTAACTTCGTTCCAACTAATTTAGAAATTCTTGTTTACAAATTCAACTATATATGTATGCATTTTGGTTGCATAATTCCAATGCAGTGCACAGTATAGAGATCATTCAGTAGAGACAACTGGCTATTTTTAGTGGCCCATTTTCATGGGTGGTTGTTTGTCTTGTAAACGTATGAGGACGCGCAGGTGCAAGGTACTTGCCTTTTTGTGCGTATTGGAACATTGAATTGCGGTATTTTGGTTATCTAGTGACTTTAATTTGAAATATTTGAAATTTGCCAGTTTAGTTGCATTGATCAAAACCAGGTTTAAGGCTGATCTTCCGGTGGAATTATTGCAGTTAAGTGTAATGGTCCCCAAAAAACATTTTTCGTGTTTTGTTGGGACCATTGTTTACTGTTTAATTTTTTTGAAAAAAAAATATATATATACCGGGTGTCCCACGTAACACTTTCGGGAGCAATAACTCAAGTATTTTTGAACGAATTGATAGGAAATTTGTAATGTAGGTATTTTGATAGGTGAGGATTAATATGAACCGGTGAGAATAAACATTATCTTGAAATAGTTATTTACATTATGAGTGCGGTAGGTAACATTTTACAGGTTGAGGTCCTAATTTGCCACCCGACGCGAAGCGGAGGGTGGCATGCGACCGAAACTTGCAAAATGCCTAACGAACGAAAATTATATTCAATTTTTTTCCCCGACATTGAGTTTATTTTAAAAAATATTTCATTTTAAAAATATTTTCCGAAATGGCAAGAAATGAAGTGACAGTTTTGGGACTTGACGTTTACTGAAGGAATCTATAATACCGACAGCCACGAGATGGCGCCATGTGATTTTTTTTAACTAATTCATTTTTTCTAATTCAAAAGTTTTGATTGAACAAAACACGATGTAAAGTAGTGTTTTAGTATGTTTTCTTTTATTATTTATACAAAACTTTTTTTATTAGACCTTTTACAGGCTAATGCATATTGAGTTACTTTGGCACCCAAAGGCGGTAAAGCGACGGTAAATTGATATTTGTTGCGTAAAGTCACTGTTACGCGGCATGTCAAACGTGTGTGAATGTTTTGTTTACATGTCAGGAGGGGAAAAAAGTAAATTTTCCATCCCTTAATTTAATTTTGAATTAATTAAGTTTGGCATCACTCGATTAAACATGAAAAATAAAGACTGTGTGCAAAAATTCATTTCCGAAATATGTCTGGTTAGACAAAAAATGATAAATTTTTGCGCAAATATTTCCAAAAAGTATTACAGTATTAAAGAAACAAAAAACTGTATTCCTCGCATTTTGGACACCCTTGCGGGAATTTGATAGCTGCTTGCCAAGCGCTATTTTATGAATTTAAAAAAAATACTAATTTTCAGTTGCTCGGCTGCAACTTTTGGAAGGTGCAAAATTGCTTTAGGTATCTTCAAATAAGTTTATTACTCTCTGTACCTTCAATTTGGTAAATTCGTCATGGGGATACCGTTCGATAAGAGTTCTAATTGTTTCATCTAGGTCTGTACGGCATTCTCCGTAGGTTAAAATGTTTTCTGTTTTAATAATTAAAAAAAAGCGAACCATTTTCAATAACTTGCCAGATTTTGACAAAAATGCCAGAAGTGTACAAAACTGAACAAGGCAACGCACGCAATTGTTTTGCACTACTACAAATTAAAAAAACAAATGAATACATTTTTTCGTTTTTATTACCGTAATTCTTTTAAACAAAAAGCGTTATTTTAGTTGCATAATTTGCATAATTTTTAACAAGGGGAAGCTGTGTTAAAATTGGTTTTTTGTACGATAAAATAGTTTTTTTTGTTATCAGCTTAATCTTTACCTATTCATATCAATCCTCACCTACATTTCAAATTTCATAAAAATCCGTTCACAAATACCTGAGTTATTGCGCCCGAAAGTGTTAAGTCAGCTAATGAGCCAATCACGGCACAGAATTCGTAAAAATTTGCCCCACTGGTACTACGACGTCTCCAGTTTAGGCGTCACTATTCAAGTAAAAGTAAGGTGAAAAGAAGGAAACTTTTTAACTTTGCCTTGTGGGGGTTAAAAACTGTTTGTGCAGTTCGTGCGAAAACAAAATTGTGTGTTGACTTCAGTTAGTTAAAATTTGGTGCTAGTGAAGTTGCCCAGAGAGTTCTTTAGTTGCAGTACACCAAAATTCACAGGTAAATCAAAAATTGTTTGTCAATCCTGAATACTTAGACGTGTTTAGTAATTTTTTTTCAAAAGCCAAAAATCAACTTACTCCGATAGGTCACACATAATGTTGATAAAATGTTTTTTGTTGAATTAAGCCTTGGGTGGAAAATAATTGCCATTATCCAAAGTTAAACGTATTATTTCTTTCTCTTGTCCACTTTTCAAATTTAGGAACATAAAGAAATTTTATCTAAACTTATTTGTTGTTTAAATCACGTGCTGAGAGTTATTATAACATGAACGAAAAACCTAGAATGAACAGTTAAGAAATAGTTTTCAGAAAAAAAAGTTCTCAGCGTAAATACAAAAAAAAAGAGGTAACAAGTTTAATTACATCCAAATTTTGAACGCATAATGAGTAAATTTCATATGCGTACTACTTCATTGCATAAATTAATTTTGAATGGTTTTTCTAATGTGGACCGTCTTTTCTAATTGTTGAATGCCTGAAATTACGAGCTCGTTTGCCACCATGGGATACACAGAAAAAAACACACACACAAAAAAAAAACAGAAACAAAAAAAAAGAAGTTTGTTTCACAAAAAACCAACAGAGCGCTAGAAACGTCCTATTACTATAAAAGCTTCGTTTCCCGCTCAAATCATCTTTATTTTTTGTAAGTGAGCCATTCGTTAATAAATGGCCAGTTCGCCGATGGTGCCGTTGTAACAACTCCATCGCAATTTGCCGAAGCGCGTCCACCATAAATCGCCGGGTCCTTTTGGTACACCTCGTTCCGAGAAATGTTTTTTTTGTAGTGACCAACTTGCGAGATGTCATGCATTGCGTAAACGTAACTTTTGCTCAGCGAAATTAATACTCGATTTCTGTTCGCGTTGCTAGGGCGAAACTAAACTTGTGGCATGAACTACCTAACCCTTTCATAAGCGCTAAGCGGAAGCGGATGATAGGGCGTAAACAGCGCAAATTTTAGCAAACCAGAAGGTCACGGGTTGTGGCAGCGTCACGATTTGATGCGATTAAAGAAATTATTATTATTATTATTTTTTTTAATAATAATGAAAAAACTTTCGGAGTTTAAATAATATATTCGTAGTCACTGCTACACGTGTTTCGGTACACAGCAGGGATGTTGCGAATATTCGCATCCGCATCCGCAAATGCGGAGCTTCCGCATTGATTTGGACATCCGCATCCGCATCCGCATCCGCAATAATCAATGCGGAACTCATGCGGATGCGGATGTAAATGTGATGCAAGTCGCGACAAGAAAGAAATTAGTTGGAGCCGACGAGTGACGCATAGCGTGCACTCGTGATGCATTGACCAATAGGAAGACAAGAATTCTACTTTCGGTGTTCCGTTTCGCACATCAGAACGTGTTTAGTCGAGGTTGCGCGAATTGTGAACGTTTTGTTTTTGTGTTATTGGACAAGTGAATCTACAATGGCACCAACGATGCAAAGTGAGATTTGGACTTATTTTAAACCAGATGATGATCGAAATAAAGCTCAGTGTATAATATGTAATAAAACATATTCTCGCAAGGGTCGTACCACTTCGTCTTTGAAAAATCATCTGATTAATCGTACCGAATTAAAAATTTTATCTGGAATAGCACGCAGATTTTTATCGCCTCCACCAGCTAGTGTTCCCAGTGAACAGTTATTTAGTAGTGCAGGATTAATTTATGAACCTCTGAGAAATAGACTCGAATCTGAAAAGGCCGCAATATTACTTTTTATTAAATATAATTCAACAATTTTTAAATTTTCGTACTAAAAATTTGTTTATTAAATAAAAATATTAAAAACCCCCATTTTTTTAACTGATTTCTGTACATATACTAAGTTTCTTAAAAAAAAACTTGAGATCCGCATCCGCATCCGCGGATGTGAGCTCCCAAAAATCCGCATCCGCATCCGCGGATGTTGAAAAATCTGCATCCGCAACATCCCTGGTACACAGTACCGTCTTCAGGCAGAAGATAAACTGGGGTTTTACAGAGCTATTCCTGAATTTATACCTGATTTGACAATAGTGTTTACAAATTTATGTTAAGTAAGGGAGATTTGTTTATTTCGGTTTGGTCGTTCATTAGTGTATTAAATCTATTGTACCTATTTATTTCCAGACATTCTAACGCGTTTAATTTTGCGCCTTTATTTTCTATGTGTAAAATTTTGAATTCGTCGTTGAAATGATGCTGTTCTTGGATAATTTTTTTTTGTTGGTCGTTTACGTTCCTCTTGAAGCGGAGCGAACTAAATTTACCTGTTTGTTAGGACTGAAAATTTGTTTTCTTACCCCTCAACTTACCTGACTAAGAAGAAAACAAATAATTACTTAAGACAAATAACTTAAAGAAATTATGGAATTCTTAGAAAAAAACCTCTTAACTAAATGGAGAAACTCTTAAATAGTTAATAATAAATAACAGTTAGTAATATTTTGTTTTACGATATTCAAACACTAACTCTCTGAAAAGTTGTTTAAGAAAAATTCTCTTAGCAACGCAAATGACTTCTCTTTGTTGACCAAATCATATTTAGGGGTACAATATTGATGGATTGCCTCTGTTATTTTATTGTCTTTAATTCGTTTAAGAATTACCTCGACTCTTCTCTCCGAATATTTTTCTTAGTGATAGTACTGGTTTTGTAATTTTTATATGTATGTATTTTTTTGCAGTATCTTGCCGCACTTAAGTATACCTATAAGTTACCCACACATTTTCCATTGCCGTTTTTAGTTAAGTTATACAGTTTATAGGACCACTGTATCTTTATTACTTAATAATAATAATAATAATTTCCGAAACTGTGATTGGAAATATGTTGATTTCTGTGTTATTTTATTAATAAATCTGCGTTGTCTTTAAAACATGTTCTCCCATGCGTTATGTTATGAGGTTATGACACTACTTTGTAAAACGAATTTGGAAATTTAGTGGTAATTTTGTGAAAAGCAAAAAAAACCAAAACATTAGTGCAATTGTTATTAATAAGACACAACGCAGGGCAAGTGAATTTTTATTTTATTTTGTTTTAATTTGCGACAAATGACGATCACATTACAATATTCGATTTTTTTTTGTCTCCGTGAAAGAGGGGATTTGGATAATTTTTGTTTTCCTTCGTTTTGAAGAATAGTTTGTTATCTCACCACATTACCAAAGTAGATTTCAGAGATGACGTCACTCTATTGTTGGTGGGGATAACCATCTAAATTTTGGTTAATATTTTAAGATCTAGATTATATTTCTAGTACACATACAAAATTTGACAGCAATCGGTTCTGTTGTTTCGGGGACTATGTTTTATGTTTTTAATTAAATCCGGACAGACGTCAAATCGACAGACAGACAGATAGACAGACAGAAACGGGGTACCTACTTTTTCGTACTCGTGGGGTCATGAAACGTCAAGATACCATAAAAGTAGCCAGTCGTTCAATTGATTCGATTACAATACTTCCTTGGCTTACGCTCAGGAAGAAAATATCGACGTAGACAGACAAACGAAAATGAAAGACGTATTTTTTCGTACTCTAGGGGTCATAAAGTGTCAAGACTAATGTCGCTTGCGCTCAGAAAGTAATGAAATAATAAGCTATGTGCTAGTCGATGGAATAAAAAATATTAATAACCAATACAGGAATAACAACAGTAATTTTATTGTTACATTCTATCATAATTTACGAGGTCAGCTCAATACGCAGAGAAATTGCGAAAAAAAAAAGAAACTTCGATCATGAAGATTGTGGTTGAAAATACTTTAGAATCTTTTTCACTTTGTCGTTATATTCTTCTGATATCTGAGTCTTATAAGGTTTATTTTTTTCTCCGCTCTCTTTGCTCCTTCTACTCTTTTCATCGTTTATTTTCAAGGGGACATTTTCAGTTGCTGCCGTTGATTCTAATTCAAATTTCTGTTTTAAACTTCGAACGTCTACTTTTATTTCTTTATTTTTATTATCATCTTCGCTCATTTTGCCTACGCTCTCTTCACTACCATGGTGACTTCTTACGTTGTTATATTCAAATTTTTTTTTTACATCTTTTACGTGAGACGAAGCTGCCCTTTTATCTATTTTTTTTGATTTTATTATAACTTGATTAAAAGCTTCTGCGGTGACGGCCTTTTTCTTTCCACGTGTATCCGTGTCATGTAATTTGGACGAAGTCGAGTTTTTTTTATGGTTGATGGTCTTGTTTCGACTATTATATAACATGTTAATGTTCTTGGCTTCAGATGTTTTATTTTTAGTTTCTTCCGTGTCAGTGTTTTGTGTGCCGGCATCAAATGCAGAAGAATTTAATATGTAGTCACTAGACACGTTTTCCAAACGTGTCGCTATTTCTGATAAGCTGTGAATCACTATTTTTAAATCCGTTAATAGTTGAGTAATTTCATTTGTTACTATTTCTAAAAACAATGCATTTTATAGTTTTGTATGGTGAAATAAATGTTTCTATTTACCTGATTTATTATTTGACATTTTACATTAGTTCACAATTAAACAAACGCACACAAATAATAATGGAACAAAATATACCTAACCAAGTTACAAAATATCTTATCGTCTGATATCTTCTACTATCTTTTCTTCAATAAACACTTGATAAGTCATATTGTAATACTTCGGCATCAATAGAAAACAATTTGCTGTTATATAACATTTATTTAAAGCAACATTTTTGTTATTGTTGGGTTCCATAACTACTGGAAAGAGTTACTAGGTACTTGACGTACAATCTGAATCTGTGGCAGCTTGCTTTATTGTGAATTCAAAAGTCACAGGAGTGGTGATTAGCAAAAATCACTTTATCTCTTTACAATAAATATGTTGATAAGTTTTTAGTTGTGAAAATGGATAATAAGGGTGGTGAATGAAATCAGAACCAATTGTATCAATGTTCTCTAACACAATCAAAGATATGTGAAAGTAAGGAAAACACAAATTTGCAATTTTTTTGGAATGTTGTTGCACATTTTGTTATACTTGTCTAGTTTATAATGAAGAATAATATTTTTTGTAAAAAAATTTATTTAGCTTTTGTGAAAAATCTGCATTATTCAAAAGTTTTTTAGATGAAATATTTGTTTTAAATCAAGCCAAAAATTTTATTCCTATGGCTCTTCTTCGTAAACAAATAAAATATATTTTTGTAAAGTGAAGCCAGGGATGTACTCTATTTATATAGTATATCCATGATAAACAACCGTTGCTTTCTCTAACATATGTATAGTTCGGGCATTTTTTCCTTTTTCGATTTTTTCAATGATTTATGACCAGAATTGTTCAGTTACCAACGAACAAAGAAAGGATATAATGCGTGTTTTTTAAGAGGCTAAATTTTCCAGCATTCTAAATAAACCTGTTGATTGTATTTGAAGACAAAAATTTGTGTAAATTTATACAATTCTTTCACTGTGTGGTCCAGATGTTTCCATTCTTACTTCATTATTGTAAGCTGAAAAATAGTTCAAAGGTTGTTTCGACAGAACTTTCCTCGCCCCTGGAGTACAACGAACGAAGGAATTTTCGAAAAATTATAAAATTTGAATTTGAGAATTTTATTTTTTTATGAGGACCCCTATAAGTTGAAAAAAGCATATGTAAATATGTCATGTTAAAGTAAATGTTACGAAGCGTGCTACGGGTATGAGTTTTTAGTTTACAAAATTTTGTGATGACGTCATCAACATTTTTGCAGGGACGCGTATATCAACTTGGACTGGTGCAGTGTAATACATACTAATAATAACAGTATTGTATTCCCAAATTTTCGGGAAAATTGAGTGAGCCGTTCTTTATTTAATCAGTAAAATAAATTGATTGATTCATTATGTTTTTTAAACCACCTGCATAAGCAAATCTAAAAAATATGAATACAATGATAAACCACAAGTATAGAGTGATAATATTTTGCATAATTCAGAGAGGCTTCATACGATAAAATTTTGAGATGACGTCACGAACTTTTTGGTAGGGGATAAATGAATACATTTTAATTAACGATTTACCGTGACTACGACAACCTTAAAACGTTTGCAAATTTCAAAGCATCCGGTTTTGCAGTTCCTGATTTATTCAGTAAAATAAATTGACACTTTCATTTTTTCTTCAGTCATTTGTGCAAGCCAATCTAAAAAATACAAATATAATGATAAATCACAAGTATAAACTCATCATATTTTAGATAGCATTTATTCGCTAAAATTATGAGATGACGTCATGAAATTTTTGAGGTGGATAAACAAATATATTTTGATAAAAAATTTAGCATGTAACTTTAAAACATCTGCAAGATTTCATAGCATTCGGTTTTGCAGATTCAAAATTAAATTGCAAAATTTTGTTATACAATTGTTTTTTTTAATCTGGAAAATTCGATTAAAAACTGACACGGATTCATAAACTACACGTGTAGAACTATGTTATTTTATACAATTTAGAATCCATTTACTATATGTGGGTGACGTCATTATTTTGTTGGTGAGGATGATTAGCCAAAATATGGTTAACGTTTTACCATCGGTCTGGTAGTTTCAGAAATTATCTCTCTTACACAAATACAGACTGCGGACAGACAAACAAGCAGGCAGGCAAGCATACAGACAGACATATAGACAGACGGAAACGGGAGCCCCATTTTTTCATACTCTAGGAGTCATGATCGATCGATAAAATTTGAAAGCAGCCATTCGCCCGATGAATTCGATTACAATACTTCCTCATCTTACGTTCGGGAAGTAATTAGCTTATTGTACGCTCGTCGATTTTATTTCTGTAAAATGGAGAATTTCCGTATTAAATTATTGTTAGACAGATTATCTCCCAAACTAAGCGAATATTGTAATCGAGTCCGTCGACCGACTCTCTACTTTTACGTTTTTTCGACCTTTCATAACCCCTAGGGTACAAAGAAACAGGTCCCCCGTTTCCGTATGTCTGTCTGTCTGTCTGTCTACCGTCTGCCCGGATTTTTATTAGACAAATAATCTCCGAAACTACTGAAGCGATTGTTGTCAAATGTGTATTATTAATATCATGTACATGGATGGCAAAACACTAACTAATTTTGTCTAATCATCCATCAATGTGATGACATCACCTCAAAATTGTACATTGTAAATGGGTTTTTAATTGTAGAAGTTAACATATTCCTACACGTGTATTTTATGAATCCTTGTGGAGCTTTTAACCCAAGAGATGCAGATTTTTGGAAAAAAATCAAAACCGTGTAACATTTTGCAATTTAATTTCGAATCTGTAAAACCGAATGCTTTGAAATCTTGCAGACGTTAAAACATTGTCATAAGCATAACAAATTTTTATACAAAATAAGTTTGTTTATCCCTCACAAAAATGGATGACCTTATCTCAAAATGTTGCCGAATAAATCCTAACTAAAATGTACAAAATGTGATGAGTCTATACTTGTGATTTGTCACTGCATTCATATTTTGTAGAATTGCTTACACAGGTGACTCAAATTAATGAATGTGTCAATTTGTTTTTTTTTTTATTAATTCAGGAACAGCTCACTCTATTTTCTCGAAAATTTGGGGCTAATACTGTTGTTGTTATTAATATTACACTGCACCGATCCAAATTGATAAACGTGTCCTTGCAAAAATGTCGATAACGTCATCAAAAAATTTTGTAAATGAAAAACTCATTTGAAACACGCTTCTTTACATTTACTTTAACATTATATATGTCGTAGTCATTTTTGGAAATTCGTCACTTCGTGAATTTGCGGAGTCATACGTGAAGTGACGTCATTGAATGTAATTAAATTTTGTACGTTAATCGACGCCATATTTTAATTAACAGACGGCTTATAATGTAAAATCCTGTTCTTCAGCAACAAATGAACGGGACTACGTGAAGAATGAAGATCCAGCTTATTATAACGTAGGAAGAGAAGGAACTAAAAATATAAAAAGAAACATCAACTTTGGAAATTTTATCATACTCCGTTTGTGTGAGAGCGACTGTTACATTTAATTTGAACTTTAAGATTTTTTTAATTGATAGTTACATAGAGTTTATCGAAATTCGTTGTCATGATTGTACTTAATTATAAATTTTATTATGCCAAGATAATTGTTTATAATCTGCCATTGTTGTAATCGCTGTAACCGTCGCTATGAATGATTCGCTAATTTAATTTTATAAAAATCTTAGTAACGTTATTTATCCCTTACATTGTGAAGGTCAAAAGGATCAACTGGAGCGTATCATCATAAATCTCCTACAGGTTACGTTTATGATCTTTGTGGTCAGACGGTTTACATTGTAAATATTAAAAATGTTGGTAACAGTGTTCATTATGTGTCTTTAAAAATAAACATCTCTGTTATTTATGGAAATTTTGCTACACGGTTTTCACCAGTGCTTTCAGATTACAAAACTCTATACATACTGCGGTAAACATTCTCGATTTTCTTCGTCCGAAATGAGATACAATAAATGCACTTTAAAAAATGGACAAGTTATACAGATTAAGTTGTGGACAAGTTATATTTAAAATTTTATAACAATAAATCTGCTAATAATAGGGATATTAATTACATTCGAAAAATGCATTGAAAACCCCATAAGTGGTAAACGTGGTGACTAACCTTAATCACTACAGACATTTTATTTATTTACTAACTAACATCAGCTTCCTTCCTCAAGCATATAAACTGCATACTCTCGAATGCTGGACTACCAACTCCCACTGAAAGGTGTTCCACTGATTAGACTAATAATAAACGGAGGTTGAAACTGCAGTCTACAGCTCTTCCTTGAATTGCCTAGCCTTTCGAGTTCGACAATTTGTAGTTCTATTTTTAACCACCGACTGAAAAAGAGGGGTGTTATAATTTTGTTTTCTTTGAATGTGTGTCTGTCTGTGGCACCGCAGTTTCCAAACGGATGTACCCATTTCGATGAGATGTTTTTTAGTTGAAAGCTGGTTTACTCGGGATGGTTCTTAGCTAGGTTTGACGATGTAACAAGTGCATCGCACATGGCCCCCGAATCTCACTCTTTGTCGCGAGCTGATTTGTCTCGGTTGTCCATCATGGGTCGAATTCTTGTTAACGGCCTCTCAAAATTCACCTCTTCCGAACCTTCCCAGAAAATCCCGACAAACAGTTCCATATATTTCCTTTTATTCCTTCTCTCCCCATGTGGCACCGAACCCTCGGGTTAAGTTTTATGGTACCACATGTCCCATCTGTTGCGAGGGAGTTGTTAGAAAGTAAATTGCATCTCAAGCGTGCCTAGCTCTTTTTGTTGAATTTTAAGAAAACAGCACAGTTTTCTAACTACCATGAGGGATGTGCCCAAAGACGGAAAAGCGTTTTGTTCGAGAGATCCCGTTATCAAAATGGAGTGATGCGATTTCCTCGTTTTCTTAATATGTAAATATGTTGCGGTAAAAGAAAAGGTTGGAAATTCGGATGAATGACAGGCATAAATGTAGTCTGCCACAGGTGGAATGAAAGTTGCGATTATATTAAATGATATTATTAGGGAACTAATTTTTTGATAAGAACATGTGAATC